TTTTTTAAATGCATCATGCCCTCTATCCATTCCAACCCTCTCCAAATATAGAGACAACTATGAATTAGTTAAGAGATTTCAGTTTTAAACTATACTGGCTAGTTTTAATATCTAGAAATTACTATAAAGTTATGGAATCTAAAATTTGTCTAAGGCAGTAAGAAAAGGGATAGGGATAGAGGTATTCAACACAGCACTGTTTTAAAAGAGTGATCATTAAAAATAAAATAACTTCAGGTTTATACTCCAAAAAGTTGAGATGTCTTGGAGAACTGGATATAGTCAAACCTGTTGGGTGATTTTCTTGAGCTATATTCAATGGCTCCAGAGCAGGTGTTTCTTTGGATAGGCATGCTCTAAGTGCTCTGAGGCAAAGTAGTTGAAAGTATTTGCAAAAGGCCTTTGGAAGGATGATAGAATGGAAGCTGGATAAGAAAGGAAGTGAAAACAAGTCTTGAATTCTGGTTAGGCATTATTACTTTGAGCAGGTCTTTTAACCTGTCTGCTTCAATTTTCTCGTCTATAAAATGAGGATAATAACTTCATAGTGACCTTGTGCATGTTTTTAAATGGATTCCTTCAGACTGAATACTGCCTCTTTTCACCAACCCTTGCTACCTTCTACTTACCCCTCTGATCGTCTAGGTTTCATTTTAAACTTCATTTCCTCTAGAAAGCCTTGTCGAACCTTCCAGGGGGTGAGGAGACCTTTAACATCTTCTAACTGCACCCTATGTCTATCATTGCTGTTGTCATACAGAATTGGAATTGTCTGATCACTTGTCTATCAGTTCCATTAGACCAAAGACTCTATTAGGGTAGGGACTATGATCATTTGTTCATTTAGTACATATTAGAAATAAAAATATAAGCTAAATTGAATTGACTTGGAGAGTATAACGATTAAGTGAAATAATGCTCGTACAGTTCCTATCAACCTACATGTTCAATAAATAGTAGCTTTAAAAAATCTCTATTATTATTCAAATCTTTATCTGAGGGCACAGCTCCTGGCATGTATACATTTGTATCACAATAAACACTTGCTGAATGAAAAGTTTAGACTGGTGATAATGACATCCTTAGCCTATGTCTGCCAGTGGCAATCCTTTCAACTGTTGTTGATTTTACTTTCAGGATCCCAAACGGTCCTCTGAAACTCCAACTTGTGCGTGTACGTGTGTGTGTGTGTTTTAGGGCAAGAACGGGGGGGGGGGGGGAGGGTTTAAAATCCAAGACAGTAATTGTAAGAGGCCACTATAGAGTGGGAATAAGGGAGGGGCAGAGGGACACCAGAGAGGCTCGGGAACCAGTAGCGGGTTGGGGCGTGTATGCGTATTTTCAATTTCTTGCCCACTAGATGGTGGAACAGAGCCCCTAACCTGATAACAGTATGCTTTCTCACAGATCTGAGTTTCTCTTACAATGCCCACTCAGCGGTTTGCACGTGGAAGAATCCAATAAATTGTTATTATGTTTTTCAAAACTTCCGCTTGGAAAACAGAGCCGAAACCACAAGGGCGGGAAGGTTAGGAAGAGTCGAGACTTGCGGAAATACAGGACTAGGGGAGCTAAACTACATTTCCCAGGAAGCCACGGGCTGGGCCTACAACACCCAGCATGCCAGTGTTCCGGCTCTCGTGACCTGCTCGTGCCGTCCACTTTCCCAAGGAGCGCAGCAAATCTGTGCATTCTCTGTTGGTGCGGCAACGACGGCTCTTACGTCCGGATTATCCTGAGCCGCAGCAATTCCTACTTTCGCTCGTAGAGCAAAAAAGACACTAACCTCTATTCCGTGGAGCCCACAAGCCACGTGACCAGCTCGGGTCATGTGACTCCAGAGCCAGGCGGCAGAAGTGTGTTACCCTGGTAACTGTTGAGCCCCGCAGACCTTCCGGGAAAGCGCGGAATTCAGAGACCGAGGTAGGTGAGGCATAGACACTTGTTTCCCACTCGGTTGACTCTGACCGAGACTGTCCTCAGACCCCCTTCCCAGGGCTTTAGTTTCCCAGGTCACTCCCCTCCTCCGCCCACACTCTACTTCAAGTGCGTCTTTGTCTTCTCGCCACTCTGGAACCCGCGCTTCCTGGAGCAGGGCCCCACCGAACGGAGCCCGTTTGAGAGGATCCGTCTCCGACCGAGATCTTGGGGCTAAGACCTTAACCGCACACATCCTCAACTGATCAGAAATGCTAATGAGTCAGGGAGGTGTCATTCTGCAGATTGGGCAAAATATTGTCCAGGGTGTTCACACACAGAACCCCCCTCCACCGCTTCTGGAAAATGAAGCTGCGGTTTGAGCAGCCTCAAGAAGGCCCCGAAACTGGGACAGATTTGAAAGTTGGTTGGGTTCATTAGAGGGACAGAGAGAGCTTTGCTCCACGAGTCACTATTGTATAGTTTTGTTGGCCTTCCCACGCTCCAAAAGAAACGTAATATGTTCTAATTTGGATACTTCATTAACTTTATCTTAGGTAGATTTGAACCGTAATGAATTGCATTTTGTCTGTATCTGGAAACAGTCTGTCTTGCAAAACTATTACTAGGGACTGATAACTAGCTGAATGACAAGGCAGCACGTACTGTCCTGTGCTTTGCAAAAAAGAAACGGTCTTTTGAATTTGCTCATTTATACTAAATTTTTGAAAGATTCCTTGAGAGGACCTGCTTTGTTTCAGGAATGTTATGTAACACACACACCATAGAGTTAGGAAATATTGTGGTCACCCTTTAACACTTGGATGTTAACAATGAAAATGTAATCTTGGACCCTGAATACAAAGCAAACTGTGAAAGCTGCTTTTCCAAAGCAGTTTTATTCATGAATTTGGAATCTTTTGTCCAGGTTATTGGTCAATAACTGTGCATATATGCTAAATCGTAAGAGAAATGTCTGAGGTTTAAGTTTGGTTGTTCTTATGATGTGTTGTGAATTTCCTCAAAGAATATTTATCTCTTGTTATTTAGTGTTTCCAGTGTTGTAAATACTTTGGAATGTTTACTTTGGGAAGTGAAAATTATTGATTATGGCTCACTATTCCAAAGAAGAGCTGGATGAAGAGTTTGAAAAGTTCATGAAAGAGGTAAGTTTATCATTTTAAAAGCTGTATTGTAAATTTGTGTCACAAGAAATTCATCCTTCAATTCTTTCTCCTCTACTATGCAGTTTGACCACGTTGAAAATAAAACAGCCAAGTTATTTTACCAGCAAAATGGATTTATTTTTTAATGGCAGAGGAACTGCATTTCAGACCTTGCAGGCTATGGCAAAACTATAGGCAAGTCCTGAGATCAAAGGAGAAGAACTAGTACCTTTATAGAGAAAACGAGGAGAAAGGTGGGAGAGGATGCTTTGAATGAAAGTCCATTGGAGGAAAAAAGTAGTCACTGTATTTTCTTGTTGGCTGATCTAATTGCTAGGCCTGGAGAAATTCATTATTCCCCCTGTTGGAAAATGCAAGGTACATTTCTTCCTTTTGGGGTCTGAAATTGATGAGTTGATAGGGCATGAGAGCTCCCCCTTCTGGCCTCCTGACTTTTTAAAATGTAGTTTCCTTTATTTAGTTTCATATTTTTCCCTTTGGATCCAGATCTTTCCTCAAAAGCATCACTGACCAAGAAATACGTCATCTGTGCCTCTCCGTGCCAGGAAGGACCTTTTCTGGGTGTCACGTCCCACCAGAGAGAAAGCATATGGCAGTTAGAACCCATTTAAGACCATATCTGAATAACAAGCTTAGGAAGGAAAACTCTCAGGCATTTCCTATCCAAAGTCTATATCTATATCTGTATCTTGTTGAGGTCATACATGTTGGAGATCATCTTGAAGTGTTGAGCTAGCATCACCTTATTGGGTACATGGTTTCTATAAAAGTTTGACGACCAACACGTGCAAAACTTAAAAATTACTATACAAAACGTAACTAAAAGAAACATGACAATTCCAAATTGTGTACTGGTTCTGAACCATGACCCTAGGCCTGAAGGTAGCCAGCTAAATAAAAGATCTTTGAGAATCATGTGAAATTTGTTGTAGTTAATGTGCTTATTCCCTAATTTTGTGCAATTGGGTTTCTGCTTTTCCAGAGTAGTTTATCCATGTGCAGTAGGTGGTGTCTGTCACACAGACGCATCCTTACTCAGCAGAGTAATGCGAACTCTGTGATTGTCTAAAACTACTTTAGCCAGTGAGTTGAATGATCATTGTTGGGCTGCTTCTGCTTTGGCTATAGAACTGACCAGATCTCCTAATTTAAGGAGAGATTTCTAATTGTGTCTTTTAGTACTTGCTCTACTGAAGGGAGAAAGGCTCTCTCTATGGAGGCAAACCTGGAGTTGTGTATGCCTCTTGGAAGTTCTCATTCAAGGTTGCCATGAAGGTTTAGTGAGGTGGACCAGTGGGAAGCTGCTAGTTATGAAGCAAAAGCAGAACAGTGAATATAGCAAGAGCACATTGTCCTTTTATCCTTCAGCTGTCAAGGCGATGAATTGCTCAAGCATCGGGGCCATTACCAAAACCTCCATGTATAGAAGAATAGCCAGGAGCTGCACATGGGGCTCCCTCAGAAGAATTAGCATTTGTGGACCCATTTGTGGGTATAAAGGCATTAGCATTATTCAACCAAGACTCAATGCTATCACATACTAAAAGTCTTCCTAAATATATAGGTATGACAGCCAGCTTACAAATGGTCCTACTTTGGCTCTTTTACAATGTGTTTTATATATGTATTCAAGGGATTTCATTTCTCCTACCCAGGGTTGGGTTAAATTGAGGCAGGGAACAAGTATGTGTGGATTTAATATTCTAACCTATAAAAGGGACCTGGGCAACAGTTTAGGCATGAGTGGCAATTGGGATTCCAGTGAAATTGCTTTTAGGGTGAACTAAGGTATCCCTGTTTCTATGGACTCAATCGAGGTTTCTGGTGACAAATCCAACAACCAGTTATTGGAAAATGTGAATAAGAGCAATATCTGTCCATGGAAGAGGGATAAATAGAGTAAGAAATAACAGCGAGAAAAGGTATGCAAGCCTGCTTCAGTCATGTCGGTAAGGTCGTCTTTATCAGATGTCTGCTTTAATTCTTGGAAACTTTACTTGCAGGTCACCAATTGGTATGCAGGTCCAGCCTGGATTTAGTGCTGTCTTTAGATGTGACATGTGAATCAGGAGTCTATTTCTTGAAAGTTGGTGGCACAAGGGTTGGTTAACAGTACCTGATAGGGCCCCTCCAGTGAGGTTGAAGAGAGAACTTTTTGATGTGTCTTGCAGTAGACAAAATCTCTGGGTTGTGAGTCGTGGTGCTTAAGGCTTTGTCTCCCGGGAGTAAGCCATGAGGACAGTTTTACTAAAGCATGATTATTCTCAACAGAAGGAATCAGGCCTTTACAATATTGGAGTATATCTCCTTTTATCAGCTGTGGATCAGACGAGGCAGGAGCCAGGTGCATCAGGTGCTCCATGACTGTCTTAAAGGGTCAGAGTTAATGAGTTACAAAGGGGATGGATCACAGATTTAGAAAGACCCAATCACAGTGCTTTTGGCCAAGTTAGTTGAAGGGTTTCCACAAATTTTGCTAGTTGAGTCTTAATGGTGCTGTTAGTGCATTGCACTAGCCCAGAGGATTGAAGGCTGTGAGCATAGATAGTGCTCTAGAACCGGCCAAACAGCACAGACCTATTGACAAACTTGACCAGTGAAGTAAATGCCTTGATAACTTTGAAGCTTGAGAAGTCCTCCTTAGGTAGGAATACTCTTTTCTAATAGGATTTTAGCTACAGAAGGGGCCATACCCTCTCTGCAAGGGAAAGCTTCAGTTCAGTGAGAAAACAAACCATGACCAAAACATTTATATTCATGGGAAAGGAGCTGAACTTCGAATGGACTATTGGGCAACTTAAAATGCCAGTGGGTGGTGTGGATGGGTTTCCCAGAGTTGTGTTTTGGACAGGTAGAACAAGCAAAGTAGGCACTTTTGTGGGCTTGTTAATATTTATGTACCAGAATTGATTCATAAAGCCTATCATCTTATCGGGAGAGCAATAATTAATGCTTGTACAATGGTTAGTAAAGAGATTTTAGAGTGTCTGGCAGGACTGGGTTATTATTTGGCTCAAGATAGAGTTCTCTCTTTTTATCAAACCAGCAATTACTAGATTTCCAATATAGTTTTTCCCTCTCTGAGGCTAATTTTTGGATATATCTTGTCAGTTTTTCTAGATTATCATTTGAGGCAACATCTCTTAGGACCATGACAGAGGATTGGTTATTGGTTCCTTTAAGAGCAGTGTCTTTAATGGAAACATCAGCAAGGTAGTTTCCTTTGGCTTCCAGGGAGTCAAGTCTGGAATGCACAGGAGCCTTAATAGTAGCCAGGGCAGTTGGCAAAAATTTGACATCTAGTAAATTCAGGACATAAGAGCCATTTTTAATTTTATTCCCATTAGAAGTAAGGAAAGTTGGCTGTTTCTATAATATCCCAAAGTCATGGGCTGCCTGAAGGACATATGGTCAATTTAAATATTTTCAGTTTTACCCTTGGCTAAAGTACAAGTCTGAGTAAAAGCATATAATTCAGCCTGTTGGGTCGAAGTAGCCAAAGGTAAAGGTGCTGCCTTGATGATTTCAAAAGGTGTTGCAATTGCATACCCAGGGCAATACCATTTTCATTCTTTAAATAAGACCCATCAGTAAACCATGAAAAATCTGCATTGGTTAGGATTATCTATTAATTGTCATGGATAGTCAAAAGGTGATCTGTCCACATCAAGTGGTGGTGAGAGGTTTTATCAGAAAGATAAAGAGAGTAGAATAGCAGGGTCAAGGTTATTACAGTGAGGAGGATTTCATAGGAGGTGAGATAGCTGGCCAAAAGGTGTTGAGTGTGGTAAGGATTCAGAGGGGCTTTTGCATGGGGCACAAGGGTGGTTAAAGGGGTTCCCATGATTATTTCTTCAGTGGCCTTATCCAAAAGGGCAGGCTCTGAGGCAAAGGGGTTATCCCCGTGCCACAGTGTCCGGTTGTTGGCTATAATATCCCATGGGTTGATGACAGCTTCCATATTTTGGGGTGAGTACTTCAAAGGCATTCCCTTCTCATATGCAAAAAGGAAAAGAGGAGCTGATAATTAGGATGTCCAAGGGCAGAAGGCTTTATTAAGATTTTCTTTAAGGCCCCAAAGGCTATGTAATTCAGATCTTACCAAATAATAGATTCATATTTGTTGTTTTTAAGTAAGATATACAGGGGTTGGACCATAGGAGAAGTTTGGAGCCCAGTTTTTGACAGTAGTCACCTAGCTGGAGAGAACCACATAATTGGCTCAAATCAAATTCTAGAATTGCTTACCCCTTTTTGGAAAAAGGAATTCCAGCAAGATACTTTTCTAAGAAATCTCAGCCCAGTAAGTGAATTGGATGAGAGAATTAAGGAAAAAAGGGTGGGTACCTCTTAAAGGACCTAAACCAGAGGGAATAGATTTAATTAGAGGTAGGAACCTCACCGTTTAAACAGTTTTGTTCCTCTGAGGCATGGGCTGCTTTATAGTGGTGGGTTGAGCACCGGGAGTGTAGCTCCAGTGGCAGTGAGTACAGGTAGAAATTCATTCCCAGTCTGGAGGGTTGTTTCTTTGAGCCAGTTGAGACAGAGAATTGGGACAAGCCCCTTTTGTTCCTCAGAGCCCAGTGTTTGGGGATTAGGAGAACATTGGAAAGAGTGGTTAGAGGGCTGACAGCATCTGGAGCACTTGAGTTTGTAGCAGCCTTTTTTCCAGTGTCCTGGTTTTTTAAAATAATGGCAGGCATCAGGTAGGTTTTGGTTTTGTTTAGGGGCCTACATTTGTTGGAGATGAAAATTAAGGATTTTAGTGGTCTTTTAGTCGAATCATCTAGAATGCGGGTGAACTGCTAAATTAACCAAATCTAGGGCAGATGTAGTTTCCCATTCCATTCTGGTCATTTTAACTGGAAGGGAAAGATCCGATTTAGCCGGTTAATGAACATAGAATTAAAGGCTACCTGAGGGGACTCAACATCTACAGGAAGACTGAAGTTTTCATTAAAAATAACCTGAAGTCATTT